CGATGGAAGTCCGAACTAATGAAATTCATCATGAGACATTGTCAATCCCCTTCAAAGAAAATTTATTTTCTTTACCCTATATTTTCATATTATTATTTTCAAATATATTGAAAATCATTTATATAATATATTGAAGATTTCGTGAATTAATAATTTTGGATACTTCTAAAAACATGCTAATATCTTACCTCAACTTTTCTCTCTGCAACGAACTGGGTTGATTAATACACTCTTAAATTTTCATATAAATTTTTATTTCTAACCCATACAAAGCTTATTCAACAATCTAAAACTGCTTCAAAAATATATTACAAAAATAATTTATCTTTTATTTTAGTTTGTCAAGTAATAAAATTCAAGACCAATGAATCAACAGCTTATTAGTTTTGCTAGGCAATAATAATATTAATAAACTTACTAAATAAATTAATATTTTACACTGGGGTTAAATATATTTTGATGTAGATTGCAAGTTTTTTGCGTGTTAATTCCAAGCAATATACAGATTACTTTCATTTAGCTACAAATATGAAGGCCAAAACAAATTATTTAAATTTCTTTCCATTGTTTGTTTCTATTGTATTCACATTTGTTTCAGAATAGGCATTTTTCATTTCCAAAATTCTCAAAACAAAACTGTTTCCAATTGAACGAGGATTAAAATATACAGAAAAAGTTATAATTGTCTCAGCTGTCGCCTGCTTTATTCATTGGTATGAAATTAATTGATGCCGAGTTGATGCAAAACCTCTTCTTTGTTGGTGGAGGGCCATCTCCAAAAACGTGACCAAGGTGGGCGCCACATTGGGAGCAGGTGACTTCCGTTCGGATCCTCCCTGGTTGGGATATCAGGAGTAAAAGGTTTGCACCAACTATCAAGGTGGAGAGGAATGAAGGAAGGATGAGGATCAGGACCATGTGTGATGTGTTCAAATAATCAAGTAAGAAAACACAAAATGTGATGAAAGGTGATATAGAATGAAATTAAATCCAAAATAAATGAAACACAAAACAAAAGATGAAATGAAAGAACAAAAAGTGTGAAAAACAAAAACAATGGAAGTGTGATTTGATGGGAATTACAGGAAGGAGATAGGAAGAGAAAACAGTCACAATTAGCTTTCCCGAGAAGTTCACCTCAATAAACTAACACACGAAAACCAAATAGCCAAGCAAAGTGAGTCAGTTTGCCTTTTAGCGTACAACACCACACGGATCTAGGACTTGTTAGGAATTTTAAGGAAAAAAGTGAATGGAATCGAATCACATTGACATCGGGACCAGCCAATGAAGCATTTAACTGGATGTATTATAGCTTTATAGATTGGTTCCAAAAAATCTATAAAGGAGTACATTCAGTATTGGCCATGAACCCGTTTTATTGGCAACAATTCAATATATGATTCGATTTTGAATAAAAGACTTGGAACCAACACAAGGAGAATGGGAAAAATGAATTCTGATTTTGAATATTTTCACAAGAAATAGTAACTGACAAAATTGTATTAATGGTAAATTAAAAACAAAACCATTCGTTTTATGTAACCTTTGAGCAATCAAATTCTTTCCATATATCACTCCGCATGCGGCCCCCGGGTCGTATCACTACGGTCAGTGATTGCAATGTGTCACAGAAAAAAGAATCATGTTTTTTTAAACGTTCAGACTTCACTCGATTCCTCTACGAAAGTTTTAAAATGCGCACACCACATTTATAAGTAATTTCAAGGGCATCGTGTGCCTAGACAAGCTACAGAGTGTTACTTAGGTATCTATTTAGTTCTGATAAACATCTCAATCATTGACAGTAACGCCATCTCTTAGCAACAATCTATTATTTTTATCGAGAACAACAGAATCTTTCACACGCTTCGAGTCTAGACTAGAACCTTCCGTATAAAAGGAGTGCGTCGGCGCGACGTGAGTCTGTTGAGTCGAGTAATCGACGTGATACGGTCGGAGAAGGATTCTAGTTGTACGGCGAAGTAGTTATTGTGAACATAAATGAGATTGCACAAGACTTACGAATGAACATCTCCAATCAATTCTTGAAATAATTACAATGAATATGATACCTGACATCGATGAGCTTGTCAAAAACAGAAGTCAGGTATCTGATTCAAAAAACTTTTTCTATGCTCTATAAAGATAAAACTCCAGTGTCGAATAGATCGGGAGTATTAAAGTTGACTTGTGGTTCTTATCCTGAATTTTATACTGGCCAAACCAAAAAAACTGTTTTCAAAAGAATAAAAGACCACAGAAGTATATGTCATCCTGTATATATATATATATATAAACACAACAAAGAATTGATGAAACTGCGGAGATAACCTCAACTGGTGTAAATTCTGGTGTTTGTAAAACTGATGCTATTTTAAGAAAAAATTCTCAAGGTTGTTTGGAATCTGTGTCCCCTTTTTGATATTAGCAAAAACTCATTGGTGACCTATTTAATATATCTTAGGTCAATACTCATCAAATATTCAAGTGCTACCACAATCAACTGATAAACAATTCTATAAATAAGATATAGCATTGAATTATGGAATTAATGTTCCATTTTATCAATTCGTTCAGGAAGTAATAATCACAATTCAAGTTAATATATAAACATTTATATATGAGACGTAATGTTGATTTTTTTAAATTTTTGTTTCTGTGGAAATAATAAACTATATTTAAAACATGAAAGTTGTGAACATATCCCTATTTTCACTAAATCATGTTCTACTTACACTGTTCAGACTGTCCGAATGCATAGTTTTATTCAAATCGTTAATGAAAACAGATCTCAATGAATATTATGTAGCTATAAATTCAATTTTCAAAAGTGTGTAGAGCTAAAACTTTACTGTAACATATAATTTATTGAAAGAATACTTTTTTGATTTGGAACCAGTTTGGAATATAATTTTGTCAATTAAAGTACAAGAGGATAAACTGAATACAACTAAATTTTTCTCTCAGAATTCAGATATTTCCATTCATTCAATAATTCGAATCTTTGCATTTGTGATATGAAATTCAGATTAAATCATGACCAATTTTTCAAAAAGTTCAACAGAAATTGGTTTTCAATTAATTTGAACCATACTGTATTATGAAATGACTTAATTTTTGTCCACTCAATTGACAGTTCTTGAAATATCAGAGATAGGCATGTACTTTTAAATTTTATAACGAAGAAATGTTCATTTTTTGCTCAATATTTCCTCAATTTAACTTCATTTCAAACCAAGAAACCATCCTAAGAAGAAACTTATATTTTTTTATCTATAATATTTGTTTAAATGAACCTTCAAGTCACTAGGAAAATTGTGAAAGAACTCATTAACGAGCTCAAAACAACTATGAATGATTTATTAAAGAAGCCATCTGGCTGATAACCTCATCAACCTTAAAAAATTTATCACAAATGCAGAGATTACTAGTTCAAGTAGTAAGTGAATACCTCCACTAGTGTCTGGTGATAATTTAACCTTTCCCTTATCCAAAACATCATTGAAGGCAGGCCATCCACATCCGCTATCAAATTTAGTTTCAGAACTGAAGAGAGGCTGCTCGCAAACTATGCAGACGTAAGTGCCGGCGTCTTTAGTTTTATTGTAACAACCTAGATAGATAATTTTATAACTTAAAGATATAATTACTTATAAGAAAATTGAACTATGTTGACTTGCAATTTTTAGAAACTCTTACTCTGCTTTTTTCAGTGAGTGTCATATTGGCAAAACATTGAGAAAAACATCCAAGTGGATGAAAATTCACAATAGACTAACAATATAACTGAGCTGAAGTTGACACCTGTTCTTCTTCCAGTTGATTTCCATCCAAAAATTCATCATTCAATCACATTTCTTCAGTTTTGCCAGAATTTAAGTTATATAAACTTCTCATAAGATCTATTTTGTTATGATATGAGTTGAAAAATTATTTACACTCTCCATTATATTTTTAGTACATGTAAGCATGCTTTCAGAAGTCTATAGACATTCTAGATTAGTATTGATTATTCTGGTTGAGTGGGAGAGCATGTAAGCTAAACTCTGCCATTATAAATTAAGACGATTTATTATTATTATATCATCAGCAGGTGTAAAACTGATAGCAATTTGTAAAGCGGTTGTATTTTTAGTACAAATGGCGAAGCCTAACAGAATATTTATTTTAATAACAAGCCTGAAATACAATAACTCTATCAATTTTACATCAACGGCTGATAATACCAAATGCCAAACAAGAACACTATAGGTCTTATAAGGCTATTGACCAGAATAAAACCTATTTGAATATAAAAAGAAAGTAAACATTATAAACAAGGAGTAGGTAGTGTTGAAACCGCTATCAATGTTTTTTTGTCTCTAACCAGAATCAGTGGAATAACTAAAATTACCTGTATCAAAACAATGCTCAGAACATTGACAGTACAATTTGGATGAATCACTTCTCTATTCCCAAGATTTTATGGATTGAGATAGAATGAAAAACAACTGGAAGATGAAAAAAGTGCTTGAAAAAGACGTGAATGATAATTTTTATCCTACAAAATAATTCAGCTATTATTATAAAAGAAAAAACATCTGATACAAGATGGTTTTCAAAACATATCAATGATCACAAGAAAATTCACTGCTGTTGGCACTGAATATTGAATATATTTCAGGGAAACGAAGAAAACTAGGTTCATTTTTAGGGAACCAATTCAACTTATGAAAACTCACCCGAGAAAGGTCGCTCGGTTCCCTTCTCCTGTGTAACATGATACTGCAAAGGAGTCAGCCTGCTTTTCAATTCTGCCTTGTCAAATTCTTTAGCCATCTGTAAAGCTACGTAAAAATGAATGAATGATGATAATTGGGATGTTCATATATTTTCTGAAAATAAAATTAGAAGAGCTATTTTTAACTCACATGAAATATGAATATTGAGTTTCTTCAAGTGAAAAGTAGAATGGCGCACTAGATATTTGGTATTACGCAATAACTTAATCATAACATTGTGGTCAATGACTAATATGGACTATTAGCAAACTAATAATGTACTTAGTATTAAAGTACTGTCACAGTATTGTTACTTTAAATCAATTTGATGACAAAATTACCTTCCCTTCCAGTGACAGTGACGTAACAATAATTACTTGTCAGTGACGGATGTCAGTTATCAGTTTCCAGTGTTGCCATATTGAAAAAATAAAAAATGCTCGGTACCAATGAACCATTAAGTAATTTATAATATATAAGCAATAGGAGTGTATTGAATAGTACAGTATAGAAACAGTAAACATAGAGAAGATCTAACACAAAGAATAGTACCTGGTGTAACCCAAATACAGACAAATTTACCTAAAGAACCTGGAGTACCTGTATTGTACCTGTATAAAAGGACATACAATAGGATGACATGTTCAGTTTGAGTAGAACCTAGATGATGATAGTACGACCAGCTATCGAAAGCGCTCGCATATAATTAAATAAAAGTTATAAAGCTTCAAATCCTATTTGTGACTCACATTAATATTATTGAATGAAATTGATGAAACTAGTAAAATTTCACCTACATAAAACACTGTCATTCTCAATGTTAGACATCCGATGTTTCGCCGTAAGACACTTGCCTTATCGGTCTTCAATAGCAAATACTTCTTTGTATAGAGTTAATTTTTGAAATTGATTGCTTTCTTCCTTTCTTTGGAAGATTCCCACATTTTTTGCATCAAGATGGAGAAGTAGGAGGTCAAAAACTTTCCCAAAAATTAATCTCTCCAAAAAATCAGAATACATGAGAAAACTGGAAATAAACGATTAACAATTACTTCCATTCGAGCGATTATTGGGATCGTAATAAAAATAACACTTTTGATGATTACTCAAACTCGGGTATACAAAAATGGTTTATCCGATATTAACGATCACAGGTCCGTATCTGAAATTCAACAGTCGAGGACTCTCCAAGTTGGACGACACGCTGAATAAAAATTCTGAGATTATATTCTGATTGTCGGACGAAATATGCTGCGGCAAAGGGTAGACAGATTTATAATATTTGTGGAATTAAACAATGAATTTCGAAATTTTATATTTTTCCTTCATAACCAAAACCGCTAAAGTAGATTTGTTGGTATTATTCATCAATAGTACAACATTCACTACTATTTGACTTACTTCCTATCTCATACCTTTTAAGAGATTCCAATGACTAGAATCTCTATATATTCAACACGAATGGTAGAAATCACTTGTTCTATTAATAACCTCAAAATCACCTTTTATATTATTTATAGACCAATACATTGATATTCGAAACTCTATGGTTTGGAAATTAGTCAAATATGTTAACAAAGTTCAAGGGCATTTTAATTGGCCATTTTTCAGGTATTGACAACACAGATATGTTCTGTGTTAGATTGACTGATTCTTTGACCTTGAAACTGACAACACAAAGTCTAACTAATCTTTGACAATTGACACAGAAGTGATAACACTAGCGAGAACGCGACTTACAATCTGGTAATGAAGGCAGAAGAGGTGAATTTGTAAACAAATGATAATTTTTCAATTCATAGAAATGATTGAGTAAATCTTTTTCGATGCATTGAATAATGAACAGTTTGAAAAGTGTGTCTGTACGAGTCATTAACAGCGACATTGCAGTGCTGTTACCGAACCGTGTTTATGAAATTAAACAAATGGAAACTAAATCTTCCAGATTGAGACAAATATGCCTCCTTTGCTTGGCCCTTTGTGTTTTTGGAATCCTTGGGTTTGGCTATTTTTGTCCTGATAAAGTAAGTGTCTAGCGTGTATTTTTCCATTTATAAAGAATACTTTTTATTTCTAGGTCTGTGCATTGAGTTCTAAGAGCACTATTTTCATAGACGATAATTTAGGGAAACCCCATATGAATAGCAAAGTAGGTCTGAGTTATGATGATATGTTGAATGATGATTTCAACTTTGATATGGACTCGCATGATGTTATGGTGTTTTTACATATGCAAAAAACAGGTAAGAAAGAATGTTTTACGAAAAACAATTTTAAAATAGATCAACTATTTAAGTTGGAGTTTCTTGTTGAGAACAGTGAAATATCTATAGGCTAGTGAAATCGTCTGATATTATCAGTTATCTCTGCCATTAAAAGAAAAAAATTTGCATTGTTTAATAATCATGTTATTCATCTTATTTCCAAAATAGTGTTTTTTGCCTTTTATTCAGAAAGAACTTGTGAAAATTGTAGTTCAAAGGATTTTTTGTTATGACATCCTGCCAATGATAATATTTAATTTTCAAACCATAAATTCTTTTCAAGTGTTTACAGATAGTTTTCCAACAGTCTGTATATTTGTAATTGTGATAATATGATGACTAACAGAAAATTTACATAATAGATAATGTTGTAAGTGGTTTATTGCTTGATAACATGGGACACTTGACATTTGAAAGTAGTATGATTATTCCTGATAGTTGGAAAAATAAGTGCATCATAATGTATCATTAGAAAGTCAAATCAGTTTCAAGAAATTCAGTCAATGACAGTCAATGTAATACTCAGAAAATATTTATTTTCCCACAAAGAAATGTTAGATACTTAAAAATTAATGAGTAGGTTAGTACAATGATGGTTCAACTTTGATTCAAAATATTTGTCTTCTCCATGTAATAATTGAAAGATGCGGTTGAGTTGAAAAACAGCTTTTGCTGATTCTTCGCCAATTCATCACTCATAGTTATTCTTTTACTAGTTTTTAAGTTTTTTTTGTCTATGAAGATGATGAATAAAGCCGATTTATTATTAGTATTATTATTATATGAATAACTCTAGAAATTTGAACCTGTCAATGTAAACTTAGTCAAATAATTGTGAATTGTTTTTTAAGTAATTTAAATGAACAATTCACATTTTGTATTTGCTATACCTGTGATTTCAGCGATTTCACTAAAATAGTGAATTTGTCCATCTTTAGAGGAAATTGATTTTAGTTATTTGAGATTCAAGAGCTTTTTTACCAGGTTTTGAATCTGAATTGCTTTCCAAATTGCAAAGAAACCGACGTACAAATACATATAGTTGTCCTCATAAGGGTTAGATTATCAGAATACTTTAAAAACCTTCTAATTTTGCTAAATAGTTTTCATTTATATTGAAACATTGGAACATACTCTCAAGATGTAGACCTTAAGAAAGGATATTATTTTCATTTCAAATTACACTTCATGTTTATCTTTGTTCTATACTGGCTGCAGCTGCCTTTAAATATTCAAGGTTATTCTATTCAGAAAATAAAATTATGTAAAGTAGTAACGTCCAGGAATATGATTATCCTGATTTGTATTCAACTCATTGATCATATGAGTTTAATGCACTTCTGTTATTGTTTGTGTGTATGTCTGACAAGACTAAATAATTGTAAACATTCAGTTGTTATCAATTTCTTTTCAAACAATATTTTTAAAGTTATGAATACGGGGAGATGCATCACCTCTGGAACAAATCTCATAAATATTCTTTTCAAAATCAATAATGCATTCGAATTAGAAAAAATTAAACAAATTAATTTCTTCATCTGATGTACTTGATGTATTTATAAATATCCATTTTCCCAAATAGAAAGAATTATATCTTTTTGAAAGTTCTTGAATAGAGTAGAGGATAATTTTTATCTTCCATCAAGAATGTGTTTGTTACATTGGCATGGCAGTTGAGAGTTTTCATTTCTGTTATTATCTACAGTGGGGTGTAGATATATAAGGGTTGACATTATTTATTTAAGTTTATTGTATTCATTTAAAAATGTCCTTATAGGACGAAACTGCAGTAACGTTAGTTACAAATACAAGTAGTATAAAACATAGGAATTTCATTAGTTCGGACTTCCATTGTTTCATATGATATAAAATGGTTTGAAATCCCTGAATAAAACAACACAATTAAAAATTGAAATAAACAGCTGAAAAATAATGATTATGTTGAGCAAAAAAAAAACCTTCTCCATATCACGCAATTATTTTCCAAGACCGAGCGTACCAAAGAACAGTACAATATTTTAAAGGTATTTATAGAAAATTTATCTGTGGATCGTTGAACAAATCCCAATAATTTGAGTGATTTAGATGTAATGTGATCAATATGACCTTTAAAGGTTACTTTACTATCAAACAACACTCCCAAGTCCCGAACGCTGTTAGTCAACGTTGGATTAATGTTTTTGATTTTATATGGATATACAATAGGTTTCACAGCTTTCGAAAATGTTATTTGATAACATTTATTTATATTTAAATGAAGCATGTTTTCGTCACACCAACGATATAAGTGATTTAAATCTATCTGTAACAGTTCTGCATCATAAAAGTTATCTACAACCCTGTAAAGTTTGAGATAATCTGCAAACATTGAATAATAGCTGTGGTGTATGACATTCAACACATCGTTTACAAAAAGAATGAAGAGTATTGGGCCTATATGTGATCCTTGAGGGACGCCGGACGTTACAGGAATTTGTGATGATATGGAACCAGCATACTTAACATACTGAATTCTATTATCCAAATAACTCTTTATCCATTTTGACATGTTACCATTGATGTCTAATGCTAGGAGCTTAGCCATGAGGGGATCATGATTTACCATGTCAAAGGCTTTAGAGAAATCAGTATAAATAGTCAATTTGGTGTTTTTCCTCTAGGTTATTCAAAAGAAAATGTTGATAAAGCAATACATTCGTAGTGGTGGATCTACCAGATATAAAGCCATGTTGGTGTTCATTTATTATGTTTTTTGTATCGAATGTCAGTTTTTTAGTTATCAAACAAGCCAGCAACTTGGGAATTTCAGATTGCTTGCTCACTGGACGGTAGTTTTTAATATTTTCTTTATCACCAGATTTGTGGATTGGAGATCCAGAATTCAGGGAAGATTCCCATAGATAAAGAAATATTAAATAATGTTTGTAAGGGTTTTGCTAGAGTGAATATGCAGTTTTTTAAAAATTGCAAATTGCAAAGGAATTCCATTGGGACCAGCTGAGAGTTTTCCTGGGGTTATCATGAGTTGATTGATTATTTCTGCTGTTTCAATATAGTAGTTGGAAATCTGTAAACTCTCTGTGCATTTGTATTGCGGAATTTGAAAAGCCTTTTCCTCAGAATAGGTAGTAGAATTTTTTTTTCTCGAAAGAAAGTTTTTGGCTTTCTACTACTCCATCAGTTTCATTTCTCATTTTCCAACAAAAACTATATTCGTTTTCAGGCGGTACTTCATTTGGCAAGCATCTGGTACATGATCTGGACCTGAAGAGACCTTGTACGTGCCCACTTAGCAGAAAGAGGTGTTACTGTTTTCGACCGCATTCAAACCAAAGTTGGTTGTTTAGTAGGTATACAACAGGCTGGAAATGCGGCTTACATGCTGATTGGACGGAATTGACGAACTGCGTGGATGAAAAATTGGACGAGTTGGAAGATGTCATGAAAAGACGATATTTTTATATTACCTTACTGAGGGAACCAGTTGCAAGGTTGGTACTAGATTCAAATCAAATCAAATGACATTTATTTTATTGTCAGAAGAAAAATACATTTCATAGACAGTAATTATTGTGAATTACCATAATTTTTCTGCAGAAAATCATTTGAAAACATGCAAACAAATAATAGAACAAACAGTATGAATAATAAATGTAATAATAATAATATATGGATGATCTTAAACTTTATGCCTCTGGAGAGAAGGATCTCCATCAGTCCTTGAGGGTGGTGGAAGAGTACACGCATGCTATCGGTGTGAAATTCCGATGCAATGGTTCATCTCAAAAGAGGACGATGCGGGGACTACGGAGAGGATGTGCAGCTCGTAGATGGAATCATCCTACATCATCTGGATGCCGGAGAGACGTATACTTACCTTGGGGTGGAACAACGCCACTCACAAGAGGTAACTGCAGTGAAAAACTCTCTCCGCGGCAAGTATCAGCACAAACTTCGACAGATCTGGTCATCGGAACTGTCGGGGAAGAACAAAGTAGCTGCAACAAATATGCTTGCCGTTCCAATCTTACTCTACTCGTTTGGAGTAGTGAAGTGGACTCGGGAGAAGCTGTATCAACTCGACGTAAGGACCCGAAAAATGATGCATCTCTATAGGAGTTTGCATCCCAAATCGTCCGTTCCACGGTTGTACTTCCCCCGACAACAGGGAGGTCGTGGACTTTTGAGTTTGGAGTGTCTACATGACAGAATGGTACTGGATACAGCCTGTAAAGTCGTCAGGAGTTCGGATCCCCTTCTCTGCATGGTCCGTGACCATGAGAGAGCAGGAATTGGAGCATTTCTCCTTAGGGCAGCTGCTCGAACAGCTGATGAACTCGGTATAGTATTCGACTCTGAACGAGGTGACTACAACTCTGTCACCGAGTTGGAACCCGTTCAGCAAAAAGCTCAGATAAAAGCCGCAGAGATCACCTTACTTCTGCGGAGACACAGGGATAAGCCGATGCATGGGGTCTTCTTCAATAACATTGAAGACCTTGGCTTTTCAAAGCGCCTGACGTTCGCTTTTCTCAGATCGAGTGGGCTGAAGTCGGAAACTGAGGGGTTCATCATGGCTTGCCAGGATGGTGTCTTCAACACCTTAGTCTACCGCAGTCGCGTGATGGGTATAGAGGTTCCTGACACAAGGTACAGGGCCTGCCGCGAGGCGCCCGAGACCCTAATGCACATGCTATCAGCATGTCCAGCATATGCGGTCTCGGCCTATATACATCGACATAACGCGGCCCTAAGAGTGCTATATTACCATCTACGGCACTCTTACGGTATTGAGGAGACACCGGTGTTGCCCTACGCTCCGGGGGATATTGAATCCGTTGTGGGGAACGAGAAGTGCCGAATTTATTGGAACTATTCGTTCCCCACCTTCAGGCTCATACAAGCTAATAAGCCTGATGTAGTCCTTCTCGACCACCAGACCAAAACGATATTTGTCGTGGAGTTTTCAGCTTCTGGCGAGACGAATATTGTCAGAAAAGAGGAGGAAAAACGGATAAAATATCGTGATTTTCTCTTCGAACTCCGCAGACTCTATCCAGATCACTCTGTCAGGATGGTCGTTCTGATTATTGGAGTCCTTGGTGGAATGATGTCTTCTCTACTCTCGAATCTCAAAATCATACCGGCTTGCCGCACTAAGGCAGAAATCTCAGCCGCACAGATGCAGAAAGCTGTCATTCTTGGCTCACTGCGTTTGCTCAGGGCACATGATTCTCGGACCCAATGATCACTTACCCCACGGTGTGGGGAGTGGTCATTGGTTGATTATGCTGGCGCGCCCTCCCGAATGTATCGGGGCTTCGGGGGATAGGGCCTGACCAGCGCACACTACGGTGAAAAAAAAAAAAAATAATAATACTTTATTTCCGTGTAGACAATATACATTGTATAGGAATAGTCAATAAAAGAAATAAAAATAAAGATAAAAACAGAGTATAAGAAACATACAAGTTGAAACAACACCTTAAAACTAAAATAATACCCTACTTATCTAATCTAAAAAATTCATTCAATGAATAAAAACATTGTTCAATTAGAAAACTCTTTAAATTTCTCTTAAACATCACATAATTATGTTCTTCCCTTAAATGATCGGCCAGTTTGTCGAATATTTTTATTCCAATGTATTCTGGTTCAAATGAAGTTATTCTTAGTCTTGCATATGGCACATGAAATCTATTTTTTGTTCTAGTGTCATAGTGATGAACATTTTTATTCATTTTGAAATGTGTTTTGTTTTTGAATATGTAGCTACATATTTCAAATATATAAACAGATGTGAGTGTTATGATGTGATAATTTTTGAAAATTTGTCTGCAAGATTCTCTCCTTGAGACATTCGCAATACACCGTATAATGCGTTTTTGAGCAATGAATACGTTATGAGTCATGGATGACCCACCCCAGAAGCAGACACCATACCTCAGTCTTGAATCAACTTGAGCATAATAAATGCTCATTAGTTGAGTGGTAGTTAAAACTGTCCGCAGATTCATAAATAGAAATTTCATTGAATTAAGCTTAGAAATTAGATGCTGGCAATGAGCATTCCAGTTCAAGTTTTCATCAAGAAGAATACCCAGGAATTTAACACTTTTATTCGATTTTGAGTATGTCACATTATCAGCACTGAAACTGAAGTCTTCCATCCTATTTTGTCTATTATGAAAACGAATAATATTTGTTTTATCCGAATTAAAAAATAAATCATGATAAGTAATTGAAAAATTCTGATATATGTTCAACTGCAGAAGCACATTTGTCTTTCAATATTTCATCATCTGATGCCGAGATGATCATAGAAATGTCGTCGGCATAAGCTGTATAATGAACTTTAGAAACAACAGAGTCTATATTGTTTACATATAGAGTAAAAAAGGATTGGGCCCAGAATGGACCCTTGAGGTACTCCCATATCTACACTGAAAGGCTCAGAATTTATTCTCTCTAGTTAAAAAAAAACTAAAAAACACGCTTTTAAAGAACATCAAACCAAAAAGTTAAAACTTTTTTTTTTTAATAAGCACAATAATACTAGTATTTTTCGATCGTTATTGCTTCAAGTTTATTTAAAAAAATATTTTCAACTTTTCAGTTCGATGTTCTTCAAAAGCGTGTTTTTTAGTTTTTTTGAACTATATTTATTTTTTACTTTCATATGTTATAAAAGCGTGTTTTTTAGTTCTTTAAACTATATTTTGATTTTTCCATCAAGGAGGTTATGTACAGCGCCATCTGCCCGCGAATAGATCAAGAAATATCAAGGAGGTTGCGTACAGCGCCATCTGCCCACGAATAGATCAAGCAATAATGTCGATAATTCTGTCAAATACAGATCCCGAGCTTGAGAGTTACAAACAAACATACATACAGGTGAAGCTATTATAAAGCTTGTAAAAATGAAGACATAAAATACAGAGCTTAGGTGGGCGTGGGGTAAATGAGAACGAGTTGAAAAATATAAATACAATAGTAAACATAAAAATATTAACACTCAGGTATTTCAGGAGATAGAAATTTGAAACTCAAAAAATTGTAATTCATGAATACATAGATAGCAGTGTAGGTGTGCATACCACTTTCTTCTATTATAAATAATCCCATTTCAGTATTGCCAGACGTGGGTGAAATATTAAAACGCTTTCAGTCAACTAAAAGATAAAATTAATTTTTCGCTTCCAATGCTCCCGCATTAACAAATATTTCGATCTGTACCATTGTTTGCTTAGATATCAGTCAAAACTATCTTCTCACATACTAGCTGATTCATGTGAGGGCTTTTGTTAAGTTACAGACTCATACTGTGTTTTTCCCTTCATTTATATATACTGGAAGCTTGCACTTATATCTATAAGAATTAAAATAAGTTTACAATAGATAAAACCTGCCATAGAAATCTCTTTGCAGCCTGATTTTCATAGCACATCTCTGTATCAAAGAAATTTTTATTGTATTGGTTGTAAGCTCTATAATATTCTTGATGATCATATGTTCATATTTTTAAATCGAGGCTGAAATGATCCTACTTCGTAAGTGTTGTTATTCCATAGACGATTTCTGAGTGTCACATACCCATGTTTGCGGATGACACTGCAATTACTGTGGCTGACAAAAACGAAGTTGAGTTGTCAGACAAAATAAATAAAATAATAGATAAATTCAGTGCTTGGTGTCAACGTAACAAACTTATTCTGAATAAATCTAAATCTGTTTCAATGAAATCATTTATTTTAAATTTGTAATTGTTGACAAGTCCTTGTTCAATTTAACGATGTAACTGAAATATTGACGTTTTTAATCATTTATGTAACCTTTGTGCCTTCAAATGATGAAATAAGGGAATATTATTATTATTATTATCATATATGATTCATTCAGGTACCTGTCAGAGTTTCGTCACGTTCAGAGAGGTGCCACTTGGAAAGGCTCTAGGCATTTTTGTAATGGGAGAGCAGCTACAGAGAAAGAATTGCCACCTTGTTATGAAGGGGAAAATTGGGAAGGTGTTGAAATAGATGACTTCATAGATTGCGAAAGTAATTTGGCTAATAATAGACAAACTAGAATGTTAGCAGATCTTGAACTTATTGGTGAGTATTGATTTTTAGAAAAATTCTTTACACACTTTGGGGTCGTAAGATTTTCAACTAGGATTTTGCAGTGAAGAGTTAGTTCTGATATAATCCAACTTTTACCGTGTGAAAACCTCAACAAACTATGTATTTCAGGTTGCTACAATGAATCGTACATGCCCAAAGAAGACCGTGACAGGATAATGCTGGCCAGTGCCAAGAAAAATCTCCAATCAATGTCATTCTTTGGTCTAACGGAGTATCAGAGGATATCTCAATACATTTTCGAGGAAACTTTCAACCTTCGATTTGCGATTCCCTTCGAACAGAATAACGCAACGGTTTCCAGTTCAACAATAACGATGTTGACTCCTCTACAATCCGCAAAGATTTCGGCGCTCAATAATCTAGATATAGAATTATACAACTTCTCAAAGAAGATCTTGTTAGATAGGTTCGAAAGGCTGAAAGCCAGAGATACAGATTTCGAGGTTAGGTTCAAGCATCTTGGCGAATTAGGTAATAGACATGGACCAACTGAATTCGACTGGGATAAATTGGAAGATCCCACCAATTCAGCGGATTGAGTGATAGTTTCTCAAATCATGGCCTACTGTGATAAAAAAAGAAACTTGCTATGAGAGAGGTTAATAACTCTCTGTTCAGTGATTTTTTAGTTTTGCTTTGAAAGATTTCTAAACATTGTTCTCTATGAAGAATTTTATATTTTGAATCGGTTGACAATTGATTTCATTTGCAACTTAGACTTATTTTAATTTCTGTGATGAAGGGTGCTCTATTGAAGCATCAGACTAGGATATATTTGCTAGTGGACAAATCATTTTTTGACTTCCTAAGAAACCCACAACTAGTATATACAAAATCGTAAAAATTTGCATATTGATCCCTTTTGTTTTTATAACGAATATCCTAAGATATAGATTGCCGTGAATGATCATGTTCTTAAATTATATTTTTTATTTTATGAAATTTCTACATCTCCTTAAGACGCCAACTTGAATGGTGAAACGCGCGTCGAGAAGAGTATTGCATTTCTGTTGATTGGGAAAAGTGTTCGTAGTAGTTGATTTAAGCCGATTTCGGAACCTTCTCCCACCACTTTTAACTTCGAAACGACCTTCACCTTGAATGACCTTCATTGATTCACGCTCCATATTTTCGACAAGATGAATTTGATCTCGAATAAACCCGAGCCAGTCACATGGCTATTTTGAAATTTTAAGGATTCGACTTTGAACGACCTTCAACTGCGTGGACGAGGCGACTTTGACTTCGAACGAACTTCAGCCATGTCACGTGGCTATATTGAACATTTAAGGATTCGGCTACATAGACGCAGACGCTTTTGAAGTGCGTTTTTAGTTTGACTTTGAGCGACATTCTGTAATAGCACATACCTTTGCTGGATGAGTTTGAGGGCGCATATGCAATCTCCTTCCCTCGCCTACCCTTTAAATGATGGTATAAAAGAGGAGCCACTCACTCGCAGAGTCAGTTTGGTATCGCGTGTACTGAATATCTCTACAAATATGTTTCACTCTCATTGGTGCGGTAAAAGACAATATGCGTAGTCATCAAATGCAGTCCTGTAGGCTGAGTGATGATGCAGGTCCCCCAGCAAAACGATCCAGAGCGGATTTTGCAGTTTTGGAAATTTGCAACTATTGTAGTAGAATGGTGGCTGCGAATAAGATGAATTCACACCTCAAAACATGCGGGCGCAGAACAAATTCCTGCACAGAATTTAAAGGTGGTGTGAAAATCATCATTAGCGCATTTGAATATAGGATCGTTAGCTACAGAATAGAAAGTAAGAATCCGCATTCAGATAATCATTTGTCAATGAAGTGAGGCAAAAAGTTTTAACTTTGATTGATTGAATGATGCAAATTATAACGCCTTGAAAGTGAGTTGTTTTGGAGGTACATACTTCAAACGCAGGAAATTTAGAGGAAACGTTATTTTAAGAAAGAGGTTAGTTTTACCTTTTATTTCACACTAATGTTGAAGCTTTACATTGAGCATTATTATCTTTGTTTATGTTTATCAAATTTGAAAGACTGAATGAAGAGTTTTCGTTTTTTGGTGTACCCTGTCTCAAATTAACATTTTTTATTACTTTTTTTTTGAAAGAGTGTGGGAACTTGATCAAAATTTAATTTGCACCTAGTGAACATTGCAGGTTGTTTTGTTTTTTGCCACAGAATGCCATGACTTGAACTAAGTCTGATGCGAAAGTGCCATGTTTTTTGTTTACAAAATAAATGTAGAATGTTTGCTTTATATTGATGAACAGAAACAAAGGTTTGATCTCTAATGCATTTTTAGGATACTTTTCTGGATTCAATAACTCCCCAACACTTTTTGCATTTTTTGTACATTTTTACCAAATCTCCATAGTGATGGACTAGGGATTTTACGAAGGTGGGTTTACCGAAACTGGAGCCGAAGATTTAAATTCAATTCGTCACAGCCGGAGTTGAAAGGAAGTCAGAGTCGACGCTGTGCGAGTAAAGGAATAACGAGGTCGTACCTTTTAACGTGTGATTCCTAGCACGGGTCGGACGATAGGAAGTGAAAATCGATCTTTTGGTCATGCTGTTTGAACCACTGGTTCACACAGCGGTCAATTAAGTGAGTGGAGCAAACCACCCACGCCAACCGAACCGGTTACCGCGATAATAATTACACAACTCAGTAATTAGTCTCTTCAATAACTCAAATATAAATACAGCAGCATTAACGGTATCTTTGTTATAAATTCAAATAAAATCAAGTAAGCTGTATTGGTTGACAGATTTGCATGAAAATTGAACATGTATGAATTGCCACATCATTGTACAGTAGAGTGGTAGCCGAAGCTTCGCAACATCCTTACTATTGACCAATAATATTTCATTTATTTCAGTGATGAAGGACATCTCCATATATCTTATTTACTAAGTTTTATGCACCCAGACACTGTTCTTCAAATATAAGATTCCTTGCGTATGCGGATTGAAATGAAAAGTTGAGTTTACATTTCTTCTATATTAAAAAAAAATGTACTGAGGAAAATATTTCATGTTTCATTGCCTTAATTTTATAGTACAAATAATACATCACTTTTCCTTTTCACTGCTTCAAGTGAGGCAGTGAAAAATATTTTTTTTATAAATTATGTTTGATGAGAGAAATATCTGAATCCAGAAAACCAGTTTTGTGTTTGGGTAAACACAATTTTTATAATTGAGTACTATGTATTTCTTATAAGTTCTGACAGTATGTCTCGTTTTAATATGAAAGGGGTATATTTTATAATTGTTAATTTAGTAATTATTTAGTGTGTTTTGTTTTGAATGGTTTAGGATGTGTATAATATTGAATTCAAAGAGATTTCTGTAAATAAAAAATAACACAACGAAATATATCGGAAGTCATAGCGAGAATAATTTTTAATCTTATTTTTATATGCATTATGATTGTAGGGAAGCTTAGAAAGGTCTCGTATTTCTTTAATCGTTTCGTGGAAACTCGAAATCACGACTTTAGTCTCGAAATTGCGACTTTAATTTCGAAATTATGACTTTAATTTCGAAATCATGACTTTAATCTCGAAATAACGACTTTAATATCAAAATTAGGACTTTATTCTCAAAATTTCGAATTCAATCTCGATTTAGAAAGTCGTAATTTCGAATTAAAAAGATGTAATTTTTAGTTTAAAGTCAAGATTTCAAAATTAATTTCGAGATTAAAGTCGTTATTACAAGATTGAAGTCAAACTTTCGAATTTAAAGTCGAAATTGAATTTTGAGACTGCTCTCAGGTCTTTATATTGTCCAGTGTCATAGTCAGTATCTACTCTCTGGAGAGTAGTTAGAGACTGCAATCTATTCATATTTCTTGCTTCATATATTTGATTGTTGGTTATTACACTAATTATACACAACACACCATATCTAGAACATTTCTTATTATTATGAACTTAGAAATAAGATATCGTATCGCTTTCAAGAGAATATATTATTACTTGTTCATGAAATTTGTACCAAAGATTCACATAGATTAGGTTATAATTTTTTATACATTTGTGCAATTTGATACTGTATATTGAGTATCATGATGGTGTGATGATTATACTTGAAGGTTCTAGTGCTGACTTTATTACATCAAAGTCTATGTATGTCTTGATTGTTGTTTTAATTAATATGCCCTTCATGATAGGAAGGTTGATGTCTCACAACAGAATGACTGTTTTGAATCAGTGTTTCCAGGATTCTGAATCTACCACTGTGATGAATTGATTTGTAGTTACCTTAAATATTTATTGAAAGGATTGATATTCATTTTTGGTTACTGTTTTCCAACTGTCAGTGATTTTTTTTTCAGTAGTTTTCAGTTAGCCCTAATTCTATAGAGAATTGGTGATATATTTTTTCAATTTCCATGACAGTATTATGAATGTATGTCGTCAATATTGCTGTTTATATTTGGCAATAAATTCATCAATTTCTCCATAGATTTGTTGATAGCAACAAAATACTTAAGGATTTATTCACTAATGTGTTTTGTAAATATTATTTTTTCTGTCCATCAAATATTTTTTTGGACAATACAAGTGAATGAGTAAGGCTTGAAGAGTTTGATAATTCATTTTCAATTGTAATATTTATTTCTTTCATTAAACTTGAAGGTAACTAGATTTATTTCATTCAGCATTTGTGCTATAGCTAAATAGTGATAGTTTTGTACTTTTTGGAAAAAAATTATTGTTAGTGTTACATTCATAATATTATTGAACATTAATGTTGAGAATTTCTATTGTCGTCAATATTCCTGTTTACATTCGGCAATAAATTTTTTTATAATCTTGTTGTCGGCAATGGAATACTTTACATTTTATTCAAGAATATGTTTTGGGGCATTTTTTTTGTCCACCAATATATAATTTTTTCGCAATACAAGTGAACGAATTTAGTTTGAATAATTGGATATTTCAATATTAATCATTAAATTTGAAGGTATCTAGGTTTTATTCAAGTTGATGCACAGGGTTCAAACTACTTAAATTTATTTATTTGAAACAAAGAAAAGACAATCTTCACAATGTTAGTGAATTATTTATTACCAATACTTGAAATTAGATTTCACAGGTATTTTATAGCTGTGTATTTAGTTGCTATTTCAATAATTTATTTAATATGTTAACAAATATGCTTTGACTGAACTGACTAAATAGAAAATTTTATAATATAATTCACTCATAACTCACTTCACAAATCCATCTGATGTATAGCCACTTTCTCGAGCAGCTAATTTTTTTCTCAGCTACTAATTTTACAACTAGAAGTGGCTAATTGTAAAGTTCAAATAAAAATGTACATGAATAGAGATTAAGTATTTCACCTGTATTTATATTGCATGAAAGAATACATACTAGTTTTTACAGAAATATTTGTTTTTTTTGAGTTTTGGTTTCTACAATATCAGAGTACAGGATAAGATGAAAAGAAGACTTTTTCGCATGGTTTTTAAATAATTTATCATGATCGTAATAATAAAACTTCTAGCTCAACTGTATCATTTAATTAGATTAGTTTTGTTCTTGATTGATAACGTGGCATAATTTATTACAATGAGAACTGAATGTTATCAGGATGGATGGACTAGGATGGAATATTTGCAGTATTTACATATATTCATTAGTATTATACATTTATACAAAACTTTGATCGTGTAAAATAAGCATTTCAAAGAATAATTGAAAAAGTATTAATAAATAGAAGTTTGCCTTAATTCTACATAAAATATCAAAAATAAAATAAATACATCGATTTTGTTCAATTATCAGCCTTAAAATAATACTATTCTATAGCAGTGATTGTTCGAGCATGATTTTATCAAATCCTGAAGGTGGAGAATGTTTGAAGTTATCTAAAATTATGTCCAATATGGCTCCGTCATCCACTGAAATAAAATCAAGTTGAATATTTTCATCAATGTAAATTACATTTTTTTCTTTAGGTGAAATTGTCCATTGATTTCAAAACAACTGCATTGAATTGTATTTGTTTGAAACTCTTAAATTCCTAACTAGAAATCAAGTACCGTTGTTACAAGTCCTTTTGAATAAGAAAAAAAGAAAGAATAAAATCAAAAAGTATAGCACTCAGAATCGACAGTACTTACAAATATAAAGTTGAATATTTATGAGAACTTTATAGATAGAATTGGAAATCTGGCGTGGATTGGTTCAATTCAATGAAAACACTTCTACTATCACCAGAACTACAATACGGTCACCAGAGTAAATCAGTTTCAATTCAGTTTTTATTCAATTTCTGTGAATTCCTACACCACATTCATAATATCAATGTAATTATTGAGGTAGTGTAATAAAGAGGGATAATAAATCTCAGTTATTGATTCTACTTACCATACAGTGCAGGATAAACAGTTCCTTTTACATTACTGATGGATTGTTCAATTTCCTTCCCATTCAAGAAAAATTTCAGTTGGATATGGTCAAATGCAACCCCAATTATATCACCTTCCTGTATGGTCTGCATCCCATTATTATCAGAATTATTACAGATGTTTATTTTATGAAGTTCTTGTTTATTATGTCGGATAATATGATCATGACCTAACACCCATGAAAATTCATCCATCCCACCTTAAATAAGAAGTATGTCCATATTTTGATAGTTATTGTAAATCTGCGAAGAATATAATGAAATGTAAATGAATGGTAGTTTAAACCCCTATCCTGGAAAGATAATTATTTATTAATAAATGAAGTTGCAAAGCCAAGCTTCAATATTAAACTCAGACGAGAATCGTTATCTGCCTTTTACTGCAGCTTTCACTGCAAGGTAGCTTGTTGGAAACTAGAGCTCGTACACAAAGCCTTTATGATTCAACAGGACAGGAAAATACCACCATATCTTTATTGTTGAGAGATCAGGGAGAACTCTGAATTGAATATTCTTCAAACTTATTAGTAGTCTCAATGTTATTCTTAAGTAGATTATTCTACCAATGTTGGTAGAATACTAAAGAAACATCACTACTTACACAGTTTTGCTTACCACCTTCAAGTTTGCCTGTGAATTTCACACAATGATATCATGCCTTGTCCTTGAGTATTTAGTAAAAAGGTGATAGGAAGAGTTCTTGTAATTGTAATTAAACTGATGCGGTGACACATTGGTGGATATTTATTTTCTTCTAATCAAAATTATGGGGTATTTACCTAATGAAAGACTCAGGTCAGTTTGTCTTGTAGCAATACCAATGGACCATGAACCGCTTTGTTGAATTTTGACCTCAAAATATGATTTTGACTGAACCAAAGGAGCGTTTCCTAATGCTGCGCCAGTACCACATACTCTCTGACCCCCTTTTACAATAACCACCTCATATCCTAAAAATTTATCATGTTCAACAGATAAGTTCACGTACCAACATTACCCATAAAAGCTGTATCCAGTTGAATAGGATTTTCTTTGGGAACCAGGGGAACAGTTGGGCTAAAACTAAAGTTATCTAAACAACTTCTAAAACAACAAAATACCGAAACGGATGACATGTTAATTTTGTATATTCTTTCTTTTTCAACATAACCTAAAATTCTGTAACTTAGGGCAGGGGTTCCCAATTTCATTTGGCCATGGAACCCTAATTAGTAGACATTTTTGACAGGAGCCCAGCTGGTAATTTCAAAAGTTGAAGTGTTTGATTTGTAGTTTGAATATTTTCATGTTACGACTCGAAGAAAGAAAAAATTATTAATGAAAAATAATCATTCTAATGAAACAATTATTCAATGTGGAGAATGAAATTTTTCAACATATTTTTTTATAATAGTACTAAAATTAGGCTTTATGTCCGACACTTAGATGAGAAGATCCAAATCTGCATCCAGTCTGTAACTGTATTTATTTTTTGTGTAAGTGTAAACTGAAAATTCATTTGCGCGTGGGTAAGTCGGTCGATGGTCGTCACAAATGGAAGCAGAAAAAAGATAGCTTTTTCAACAATTACAGGATAATAAGACCTCTGACAGAGCGCGCGGAACCCCGTCACCCTTCTAGAGAACCCCAGGGTTCCACAGACCACCATTTAGGAATCTGTGACTTAGGGAATACTGTGCTAAGTGAAATTTTATGCTGGGCACTTATTTTCAAATCAGGTGAACTCTCATATCGAAAGAAATATCTGATGTCTCTCTCTGATTTGAGAGTCAAGCAGGAAAAGATATCCGATTTTTCTCACGATGCGAGAGTAACCTTTGTTTTGAACACAAGGCCCCTGACATGGAACACCAAAAGTCAAAACATATGGTGGTTTCACAAGTAAACATTGAAATAGTATTTTCTATTTCGAAAAACTTATTGATCACCATAAATTAATAAATATTAACTGTTTTACAAATGAATATAAATCATTATTCACCTAGAATACTTCGACCACTGATCTGTAATTAAACAGGTAATTTTAAATTCTGTTAAAGTTTGTTTGCCAACTTCCAACTTGTTCCATGTCAAATCGGGGAAGCTGTGCTCACTGCTGTAAATTTTTATGGTCGGCTGGAAGCTCCCCTTGATTGTCTTCTGCTTTGTTCTAATTCATTGAACTTATACTGAAATGGGGCAGGGCAGAAGCCAGTTCACTGAGGATGAATTATTGAATTATCAGGCAAATATTCAAATTAATTATTTTATATAATTTCAATTAATTATTTTATATAATTTCAATTAATTATTTTATATAATTTCAATAACATATTTTCCAGGATTTAACATATTTTACTAAAAAGGAAGTGCTGCAGTAAGTTCACAGAAAAAGTAGTCTCTTCCATGTGTATATTTCATTAATTTTTAGAGCACACAGGAAATTTAAAGCTCTGGCCCCAGAAAAAGTAGGACACAATAAAAATGCAAAACTTCCCTTAGCTAAACTCTTACATTATCCAGAACTGAGTGTCAACCCATTTGGAGAGCGAATTTGTGAAATATTCAGCTCTAGCCAAGATGGAGATTGTACTTTTGAAGATTTTTTGGATATGATGTCTGTGTTTAGTGAATCGGCTCCAAAATCTGTAAAAGCGGAACATGCTTTCCGTATATTTGGTGAGGTCAATAATATTATCTTACTTTGAGCGTAATATGTTTTTGACATAGGTATGTCTATATATCATTGTACATACTACCTTTATTGGCATTACTTGATGTTGAATCAACTGATTTCAGCCATTTCAATGAGTCAGAAGTTTATTGTTAAGTTATTCCAATATTATTTTCACTGAAATCGTTACAATGGTTTCTAGTAACTTGAGTAACTTTTTAGAGAATCATAGTTTTTATTCATCACCAATTGATTAATATTAACCCAAAATATTTCAATAATTCTTGCCATCAACTTCTGAATTCTCCTTCTGGAAATAACATTTACATCGTTGAAGTTGATCACTCTTTATATGTGAGTTTCATGGAACTGAATTTTGGTAATCCTCATACTCGGCTACACCTCATTAATGAAGGCCAGTAAGCCAGAAATTCTGAATTTTTTCCCTTTTTGTCACAGCTACTTCATGATCTTTCTCTTTTAATTTATATCATGCTACTTTCTGAACAATATTTTGTATAACAGTTTTGGCAGGTTGAGAAGGAGAGCAGGTTTGCATTAAAATCTTTTGATATCAGGTTGTACTTTACATTTTGTTTCTATGTAACTTATTAGCCTAACTTTGTTTCACATTCATATCTGTCGAATTTAGAATTTTATTATACATAATTTGTATGTATGCACAGAAAATCAAAATTTGTTCAAATTATCGCCCATTGATTTATTTCGATAGAAAGGTGTTGTGATTTCTTTTCAAAAGAACCGAGTCCATAGATTTCCAATAGAAGTTCCACCGTTGTCATCAATTCTCGAAAAGTAAAAGATGATTTCTTCGTGTACTTCCATTTGAAAATGACTTGTTATTAATGAAACATAAACAAAAATGAAATCATTTCAATTTCAGACTTTGATGGTGATGACATGTTGGGTGTATCTGATTTAAAAAAAGTCATTAACAAACTGACTGGAGACAATAAGCTTAATGAATCTGAAATAAATATGTTAGTTCAAAATATTCTGGAAGAAGCCGATTTGGACGATGATGGCTCTTTATCATTTGCAGAGTTTGAGCATATAACAGATATATCATCTGATTTTTTAAGGTAACTAGTTTCATCAGTTCAAATATTTATTCATTAATTAGGTTTTTTTTTTTAAATATAAAGATCATTTGTGATGAGTTAATCTTACCTTAACAATTGCTTTTTTCGTTTTTAGCACTTTCAGGATTCGTCTATGAGTTGCCACTACTTGATGTTGATTCGTTTGCTCTCTTTCTCGAATACAACTTTCTACTCATCAGACTCAAATCAATAGAACTCTACTTGCTCAACAGTGAAAGACTCACGGATATTTGATGATACTCAGAACAATGTCTCAATTGTAATTTATTTTTAAAATTTAGAGAATGAAATGTGATAAAACTACAAATGATAGGAAAATGGGATAATTTTCAGTCTGAGACATTAAGTATTATTTTTTTTGTATGTATTCTAGTCCTGTTCTGTTATGGTTCATATATGAAATGAATGTATACAATTTTATTAATGCAGTTTATTTTCAGTAGTGACCTTTACCCGGGGCAGAGAAACATATCTCTTCAGCATACATAGAAAACGAAACATTCAAGAAAAGAAAGGAATATTTCAAATGTTCCCGCTATGGCGTGTTCCCGTCCTGTGCAGATCTGTCGCAGTGTGCGCCTTGTTTTAAGTTCCATGCACACTGCGACAGGACAGCAGTGTACGAGAACATGACGTGAAATTTCGTTTGTCTTTCTATGGGGGGCGTGTCCTGTTCCTGTTCTGGTTGTGCCTGTCTGTTGCCTGCCTCAGTTCGCGCCCCCCATAAGAAAAACCCATAAGAAACTATTGAAAGAGAAACTACACTTCACATGTTCTCGCCCCGGCGTGTTCCCCTCCTGTCGCAGTGTGCGCCTTGCATTGAGTTCCATCACAGAACTATGAAGTTATAGTTCTGTGAGTTCGATGCACACTGCAGAACGGGAACATGCCGGGACGGGAATAACATGAAAAGTTTCGTTCCTCTTTGTACAGTATCTTAAGGGGGGCGTCCTGTTCCTGTCCTGGCATTTGCGCGCCCCGCCATTAGAAACTATAGAAAGAGAAATTAAACTAACTTCACTTCATATTCCCGTCGTGGGTCGCATGGCGCAGTGTTCGTCATGCATTAGCCGGATACTATACTCGGCCACCGAATATCCAGCAGTAGGTATGACTTACTGGGTCTTGATGTAAACAAAAGCCAATGTTTGAGATAGGAAGAGATATTATTTTGCGAAATAGATAACTTTCAACACGAAGAAACACAATTGGGAAAGTGATGTAAAAGCATTATTCACAACTGAAGTTCTTTTTTCTAATAGCCAACATACCTACTACACCTTACTTCCTCTCATGCAGCTCTTGTCTTTTCTAAATTTAGATCAGAATTTCATGCCCATTACATGAATGAAATTCAAAAGTAATTTATGTTCTGCCCATTCGGAAAAACCGAACATCTAAATATCTATTCTCAACATAATTTAGTAATTAGAAAAAATTCGTCACCTGTTTCTGATGCGAGATTTTCTGAATGACGCTGTTTTCAATCTATAAAGTGAAATAGTTATATTATATACATATCAAATATTATTTCTGATTCTAAGCTGTCTTGCATTCTAAAAAGCTTCTTACAAAAATAATGACAAGATTAACTGTCAACCGAGATTTACTTCGAAAAACTGGGCTATCCTTTGAACGTGCATAATCATATTTTAGGTTTTTTAAAATTTGTTATCAAGGTCATTAATGTCAAATCTAAAATCCAAATCATATGCAGGTTATGTTGCCACGTAATTTTAGCTAAAAATTGATCTGGATAATAAAATATGGGCAACTCCGAGAGTGTTGATATTCCTGGAGGTGGAACTGATGGATATCACATACTTCGGGTGAGAAATATTTAAATTTGATTACAAGGATAGGAAGTTGAAGTGAATTATTTTAGGTTCAGGAAAACTCTCCTGGTAGTAGAGCTGGGCTGCAGCCCTTCTTTGACTTTATTGTTGCTATTAATGGAACTAGATTGGATAAGGATAACGACACACTTAAACAGATTCTCAAAAATGGAGTTGGTATGTTGTTATATTGAAATAAATTAAATCCAGTGTTATGAAGAAAACTATAAACAAACCAAAAGTAGATTCATCCAGTAGTTTTAGGTCCCAAGTAATCAGTCGAAAGAATTATTATAATTGATTATTAATGGGAACGTGGTGTATGTTTCTTGTTTATAACAAAATATGGCTAATGTTACAATACAAGAATCAATTTACTTGTTTCATTATTTTTTAGGAGAGTTGACGCTAGAAATTCCATCGTGATCATTTGACTTTTTTCCATATTAGGCTTGATAGTTGTGTTCTCATAGAATGACAATGAATATCATGTTTTCATTTCATTTTTACCAGACTAAATGACTTTCATTGAATATCTGACCTGAAAATTTCAAAGGTTGAGTATTCATATGAGTTGATTTATGGAAATATATTGAATTATATTGTTGAAGCAATGAAATTTTAAAATTTCTTGTGGATCTTCAAGCAATAATTTGAAAGGCCTTAGAATAATCACATAAGCGTGAAGATCGATTTGGTTTTAAATTAATGATTTTTATTTCAGGAAAACAATTGCCATTAACTGTATACAGTTGCAAGACACAAAGTATCAGAAGTATTACTATAGAACCCAGTGATTCATGGGGTGGACAAGGGCTGTTAGGAGTGAGCATAAGGTTCTGCTCTTTTGAGGTTGCTAAGGAAAATGTTTGGCATATATTAGAGGTTCATCCGAACTCTCCGGCGTCTCAAGCAGGTCTGAGGCCTTTTTCAGATTACATAATTGGATCAGACGCCATTCTACATGAAAGTGAAGACCTTTATAACCTAATCGAAAACCATAACGGTGTCAGCCTCAAGTTGTATGTGTATAATTCAGATGATGACAGCTGTCGCGAGGTAACTATCGTTCCCAATTCCCACTGGGGTGGAGAAGGAATGGTGGGATGTGGAATAGGATATGGATATTTGCATCGAATTCCTGTTAGAGGAAACGTAGCGCCACCACCCACGACAACCATATATCCAACAGTGAAAACAGTAACCGCTGAAAGTATGATACCTAAGAATCAGACGACAGATCAAGTTCAGAATTTAGTTCAGAGTACAGCTGAGCTTAGTTTGAATTCTCAGCAAACTACTTCTACAACTGATGTACATCAGAATATAACACAACCAGCTCTTGCTGGTAAGGTGGAAAACCACGAACATTCCAGTTTGTACAGTTCGAATTTACCTGCTCCTTCTTCTATTCCTAATTTCAATACCATTGCGCCATATTCTTCGACTAATTTACCCCCCTTCGATATATCGAAATTTTCACAAACTCCAACAATGCCTGTAAGCAGTCAGGTGGAAACCACTTCTCAGGTACCAATGTACTTTCCTCAACCGCAGATCCCTACAATACTGAATCCAAACCCACTAGTTACTACTAATAACGTGGCTGCGTACAGCTATCCCCAAGCACAGCCTGTTTACAGTCATATACCAGTACCTTCTTCTCAAGTTCAAGGTCAGATTCAGAGTGTTCAATCCGACAATTTGAACAGTTCCCCAAATTTCAGTTCCCCAACATCATTACCTCCTCCACCATTATCAGGGTTTCAACCATACCAAAATCAACCGTTGATTTTTGATCCAACGATAGCTGCTCAATCAGCTCAGCAATTATTGAGCGGAAACATACCAGTCACTAGTTAGAATCTATTCAAATAACATATTTTATTACAGCTTCTATATTGTGGCAGAAGCAACAATCATTATTTCCAACGTTCACCTATTTCCATCCATTGAATATAAATGATGGCTGATTGGGTTTGCAAGAGTACTAGTCAAGTGAATCCCGACTAAAAATTATATATAGAGCTTTTCAATTGGAGTTTGCAAGGGGATCTTGGCAGTGAAAAGATATATAGGAGATGTTAGATTTGCAAATTTTTTAATTTTTCAGTAAAATTCATCAACAATTGGGAAATAACTGTGAACTGAATCTGCTTCACATTCAAAAGTTATTAAGACTGCTGCTGAAACTTCCAGACATATCGGAATTAATGTCTCAACATAACATTTTTGAAACTTCAAAGTTGAGTCATACAACACTATTTGTAAACGAGTCTGATGATTCATTAAGAGTGCAAATTATGAACATATTTTCAGCTTTATTCCAATTGAAAAGAAATACAGCCAAAAAGGAATTTGTGATTTTTCTGTTTCGTACATCAGTACATTCGAAAGAGTTGGAGGTTATTTTTTGATAACATTTGATAGGATCCTAAAATACTCAACTCTTCCCGATTTAACCCAACTCTATATCTTTCCCTTTATGAGATCCCCATGCAAAAAAAACATTTTTATTGTGGTGAATATTTACAATTTAAACAATTTTTTACTTCTGTGCAATTCTTGAATTAAGTTTCGGAAAGCCTTGAAAATGCATGTGAAAGGTGTTTCATTCGGTAAATTTCATAAAATATGGTGATAAGTTTTCATGAATTTGATATTTTATTAATGTTGTTTTGAATCAGATTTATATAATTCGTTAGGATTATTTTCTCAGATACATGTATTAGGTGTTGCAAATAAGTCAAGATTATGAAACTTGATTGTCATACAATTCTATTAAAAATTTTGTAAATGTAATGGGTAGATTGCCTGGCAATGTTGGATACGCCTAATTTTTCAGATTTGTATTATCATTTGGGCTTCATGATTTATGTACCGCTCTGCTTCAGACATCATTTGAATATTAACTTTAATTATGAATGAAACTCCTTTGAACTATTGGCACTGTCTGGTGTATGTGAAATTTATCAAAGTAACTTATTTTTTCTGAATTAAATAGATTTTTGAGTGCTGTCGCTTCTTTAATTTGTAGAATCACTGAAATGTTTTAGTAGTTTATTGTCTGACCAGGAGAATGATTCATAATTTCAATTTGAATTCATCTTCTTCTTGTAACTATTCATATATTCACTCAAGCTTAACAGTTTCTGTATCTGAAAATATCTACTGATATCAAAGTGTTGAAACATTTTACCAATCGTTTTTTTTTTATTGGTTTAAAGAAAACCTTTCCTAAACTATAACCATCCAACAAATAAAGTAACTCAAAAAAGATAGATACTTGATCAAAGCATGATCACTACCTTTATTTGCATCTATTGGGAAAGATAAACCGGCCTGCTTACGCTGGCCAATAAGATTGCAATCGGCTGGCAAAATTCATTGTTACAAAAGTCTGAGTGGCCAGTTACGTTTTAACGTATGTGGTGTGTACAGAATGGGTTGAAGTGGACACTCTCCGAAGAAAACTCCAGATAGATGAAAACTGATGGCTGTGTTTGAGGATCAAATTTTATGACAAACTTAATGGTGAAACCAGTCGACTATATCGTCAGATTTTTTAATTTCGTCCAACTTATCCATAATAAATGAAAAAAAACTTACCGAAAAGTGAAAACCTGAAAACACCTTGAAATTGAATAAAAATATTACCAAAAAGCACTGCTATAATACAATACTGCCTGTTTTATACACAAATAACAAATATTATCAAGAAACACTAAAACGATTTACCGAAATATTTTTTAGTCCCGGTCCGTCACGGCATCCCGTCCGAAAAATAAAATCAAAAACAAACACAGTCGTACACTAACGGAGACCAACTGGAGGCTAGCCTCCTCTAACGCAATAATTTCTGTAACTAAAATTACAAATCGGGACGTATGTCGCTGGTTGGATCCGTCTCGCGGAGCTTGTGTTTTTTTAAACGGTCGGAGGCTTGGCTCCCTTGCATCGTATGGCATTTATTATTTCGGGTTGATGGTTTATTCGTTCATGGGCGGTGCGTTTGAGGTTTGTTGATGCAGGATACAGCGTGGTACGTACTACGTAGTGAGTGATAGTGTTTTTTCGGGCATATTATGTATTTATATTAAAAATTAATGGTAAAGTAATGATACCTAAGCATTTTTAGAAAAAAAAATCATAATCATTTGTCAATATCTTTTAATTTATTGCGATGAATAGCCTCAAATTCAATGGAGAGATTAAGCCTCCCTTGCCTCCTCTGACGAGCCGTCGCTGCTAAGCAACCATTCAAAACGGTCTCTCCCCATAGCATTGGTTATGTAAGGGTCTCTCAGCTCAATTCTCGATGACCAATGATCTCCATAGCTGGGCATGTATTTTAGTCCCATGAGAATATTTAATCCAAGAAACATCTTTATTTCCAATGAGATTGTCACAAGAAAAGCTCGAGAATTGCCACCGCTTTTCTGTAGAGGTTTGGTTGAAAAACAATTTTTTCAATCAAAACATTCGTAAACAAACTCATGAATATATCAGTTGGACTCTCTACGTCTCCTGGAATGATTGGTCTTGTTTTCTGTATGAATGGAGAGGGCTTTGTACAGAATGCGGCACAGTTTGTCCATACTGTGGTCAGTCTCCATAGTTGTAGTTGTAATTGTGATAGAGGCATTCCATCTTCTGTGTTCCTTCCATCAATATCTTTGGCTATGGTAGGTGATGCATCAATATCACGTCGACAAACTTGTTCGAATTGCTCGTCATCCAGCTTATCAATATATGCATTGATTCTATGTCAAAAAGGCTATGCACATCATGGTCTGGACGTTTCATAATTAAGGATTTTTCTGGGTCGTCGAAAATTCAATGCGTTGTGGTTAGCCTGGAAAGCGGGCATCCTGAAGACACGTTACTCATAAAATCGAATTGAAAAACTATAACTTTTCGAACAACCCTTGCACTTGAAGAATTCGTGAATAATGGTAGCACGTGCTATGTTCAGGCGGATTTAAAATGTTTGCAAGAGTATTAGTGATATAGGCAACACATTGTACTGTACGGTTACACCGTCTGTCCGCTAGACATTCAGAAGAATAATTTAGAAAATGTGGTTTCTCGAGGTGACCAGTTGTCCTCAACTGCAACACAGCATAAGGTATGCTGTGTCAAAGCACATTAGAATAATACAACTAGTAGGCTTTCTTACCACGTGATCCGCTTGAGTTGCCGGGGCCCTTCAACCGCTTTTAGGATGAGAATCTCACCCAACGCGTTTAGTGCTGTAGTATCGAAGGATTTGACGGTACCACGGACATCGGGTTAGTTATAATTAACGGTCGAAAATTGATATTGTGTTTAGTTTATTCGCTGTTGTTATTATTGTTTTTAGTTTTTGTAGTTGGTTATAAGTAATTTACCACAAAATATTTCATAACTACCTCAAATTTCGTTTTTATATGAGCGCACGCCTATGGTAAAAGAACGAAACTGGCTCCGCACTTCGTTTCGAGGTCACCGAGAACTTTGTGAATTTATGAATGAAAGTAGTAGAAGGGACTTACTGGTTGATTTTTACTATGATCAAAGTGTGTGTTGCAAAGAATATATGAAAAAAACCTGTATTTCATAGATGACTATAGCAAAACATCAAGTGTGCTACATTTTTGGAAAGGTAATTTAAAACCCTATTGAAATATGCAGGAATATACAGGGTATCTCATTGAAAAAAATAGTTTTCCATCAATAACTATTGATATCTCATATGAAAAAATAAGTTTTCCACACCATTGAATACTACGTAAAATAGGAAATATTTTCACAGAAACAAGAAATTTTTGACATGCTCAGAAACGACGATAGATATCGATATGCGGTTTTCACCATTGAGTTTGTCATAAAATTTGAGCCTCAAACACAGCCATCAGTTTTCATCTATATAGTTTGAAAACAGGACTTTCCCTTTAAAAGTGTCCAATTAGGCCCACTTTGTATGTACCTATACGGTATTTTAAAGTTTGAAATTTTCAAAATGTCCAGTACTGTTATGGCTGAAGGAACTGTTTGTTTGTGTCTCTACACTCCATCTAAAAAAATTCTCATACCCAGCAGAATATTATAAAAAAAATCGGTCGTTCCTTAGTGCGACTCTGTACAAGCAGCCTTGTCTGGGAGATCACGTCCACTATGCATGATAATGTTTTGTCATTGTCATTGTCAAATATCTTGAATAAAGTTCAATACTGAACGATCTCAAGTTCTAACTCAACGGTGTCATCCTAAATTCTAATCAACCTGTGGAGATGTCACAATTTGCAGTGGTAATATCTGTCACAAGCTAATAACTATGAGACTCATGTTTGCCGGTAGAAATTGAAAATTTAATGAGATTCTCAAAAAAAAATTTCTTTGAATTCTTATGTAGGTACTTCTGGTACATTTTATTAAAATATTATATTTCAAATTGGAATATAGACCTTTCAAACATATTCATTCACATCTTTTCAAAATATTTTGTCAACAGAATCTCGGCAAGAAGTCTATTTGACAAATTCCTTTCAAGAAAAAGATTCAAGTTTCTGTCAATCGATTAATACATTTTTGGAATTGCTCTAGTATTTTCATACTTTTTTGTTGATAATGTCCTATACCTATCTCTATCTGTTTTCGAGATGAAAAATAAATTGTGCTAAATATGGTCCAAAACATAGCCTTAATTGAAATTAAGTAGGTACATCAGTACTCTCATTTCATGAAAAGTTGATACTTTGATGATAGTTTGGACAAACTCGAAATATTCAAATAACACCAAGAAATCGACTCCATATCATCCAGGGCGTGCTCAAATTACTATTATTTCCATTGTGCATAAAAGTAGTCAAAAGTTCTTTTTTCAAACGAAACCCCCTGTATATTACTCGGTAAATTGAAAGATGGTGAAAAATGATTCAAGATGATATATCATGTCCCTATACCTAAGTCGTCAAGTTTTCTCAATACGCGCTCTATATTCTTGTGGGATCATCAATACTGGATATGTACCCAAGTTCGTTCAATATACTGAGATATTCATAGTACCAACAATTCTGATAAAGAATCCGTTGAATCAGACAGAATGAAAAGTGGGAACTGGAAAAGATGTTAGAGAGCACGAATACGACAGAATTGATCTTATCGGAGTTACTGCAAAAACACACCTCTTATATCACCTGTAGAAGATCATGGCCCTCAATTTTCATCATGGTTTACATTGAATATACTGTAACGGATCTGAAGCTGCCCCTGACCAGTATGCCGGTCGAATCATGTAACAAACACATGACATCACCGCGAAAGAATGCAGTCGGCAACCGCCGGTAAAACTCTAGTTGAGTACCGAAACGACTACAGACTTCTAGAAAGAACCGTTACATTATATAAACCGGCTTCCCGACGCAAGAGGGCAGTTCAGAAAGTGAATCGAACGGTTAAACAAGGAATTCAAATAGTGGAAATAAATTAAGCGTTAGTTGTAAATAAAATGGTCTGTGATTAGTGAAATATTATTGGAAATAGACAGTTGATTCGTTAATTTGTCACAATACATTATACTTTTAATACTCTTCCAGTTTTCAATTGCAGAAGAGAAACTCCTGATGAGAACGATACCTACACTGATCAAATGTCTTAATGGTTGTAATAATGAAGGAAAAACTCATTTCAGTATAAATATCGGAATGTTATCTACACCTGACGATTTTTTATTAGGTATTAAGTTTGTTGTTCAATAAATGAAGCAATTTACTTTCTGTGAAAGGATTCAGAAATAATATAATGGAATTGAAGTCACTTTTGAAGTAGATGTTGTGTTGAAAGGTACATAAGTAAATAAGTAAAAAGTCGTCAAACATATTTAAAATGTTCAAATTTGAATCAATTTAGTTGTTTTATGAAAACTTTGAGTCCCGTCCAACCGACTACTTTTCTTTTAATCTACAGCCGTGCTCAATGTGTTAATACTTCCACCTTTATCAGACTATCGCAATGTCAGTATATTATTTGTAAATTATAATAAGTATGAATTTATGTGAATTCTGTTCAGTTATCACAATGAAAATTTCGTTTGTTGAACCTCAATCATAATGAAATATTGCTTAGTGTGAAATTTCGGTAATACATTTTTGAAAAATGAATATTCGCGAGGAAGTTAAGAGACAGAAAAATCCAAGGGAAAGTGCTAATGTTCTTTCTAGAATCACCTTCGCGTAAGTGTATAATTTTTTTTGGAAATAAGTACTAAGATTTCTGATAAGGGCTTTGTTAGTTTTTAAAATATAATGAATATTGAACAAACCTATTTGAATACATTTGAAACTAATGTTAAAATGTACATCTTGAATCATATCCAAAGTGGGTGATTCACTTTCTGAAGAAATAATAGTTCAATCTGGAGTACCACAGGGCAGCGTGTTGGGGCCTCTTTTATCAATTTTGTATTTGAATGACATAGGATTGAGTAATAGAATATGAGCAGGGTAACGGAAAAGCATATTTTAAACACATACATATACATATAAATCTTTTTGCAGATGACACACTGATTTCTGAAAATGATATCGATCTAATTACAGTTATTACAAAAATAAATAGTACATTGAAAATATTGGACACATATTTGAAAATGAACAAAATGAAATTGAATGTTCAAAAAACGAAAGCAATGGTAATACCAAATAAATATAAATATGATACTTAACTACAAATTAAAAATGAATTCAAATACCTAGGATGCATTGTTGGTAATAATCTGAATTTTCATAAGCATGCTCAGTACATCAAAAATAAAATATCAAAAAATTGTTTTTCATTTCAAGAATATCTAGTCATTTTTCTCGAATTATTGCTATAATTGTAGCATTCAACCACATTTTGACTATTGCAGGTCATTATTATACTCACTCTTCGAATAAAAAATCTCAATTACAAAAAATGCAAAAAAATCCAAAGTGAGTAGGTCTATTCGATTCTCCATCGCAACCCGCAAGGCTTCATTGTGGCTCATAGCTATTCACACTCGACCAAATAAACTCAGCTTCTCAACGAAGCCGATTAGTTTGTATGGTGGGTGGTCTTTCAGGTCATATGATAAGAGTACAGCTCTGCCGAACTGTTAAAACCTGATTCGGTCCCCAGCGGGGCAGGTATAAAGTATGTGCTCTGCTGTATCATAATTTTCCAAACAGAGGCGACACACGCTGTCTTCTGACAGTCCGAGTCTCTGCATATGATGATTCAAATGACAGTGACCTGTAAGAAGGCCTGTTAGACATCGTAGTTCATCCCTACTGTAGTCCAACAACTGTTTGGTATCAAGCTTCGAAAAGTGAATAAACGCCTTGGAGTGTGCCAATCCTGGGAGAGGAGTGTGCCAATCCTGGAAGATTCCAGGATTGGAACACTCCAAGGCGTTTTTGGCAATTTGCTACCAATTTAGACGTTGCTCGGAAGAAGCCAAGAGCTTTCATTGCCGCTTGACTGTCCGAGAATATTTTTATTGACTTGTGTATGAGGTTGGATTTTTCCAATCCGCTATAGCTTTAATGCTAGATGCACTGAAAACGGTTACTAGTTGCAAGCAGATTGTTTTATGTGACTTTGACATTCATATTCAAGATAACACAGGAAGGTCAACCTGAGTATTTCCATATAAATAGAACGAATCTGATAATGGCCATGAATTCTCTGTTCTTCAAAGGTTTAGATCCCTATACTAGACTTCCACGAATGATAAAAAATGCAAGGATAGTAACAATGTTAAACAAAAAATAATTGAATACATCAGAAATCAACCCAATGTTGTTTATTAGACATACAATTTTAGTGATCATTAACTGGCGTATCAACTGAAACTGTTATTTCAGTTACAGTTGATACGCCAAGAAGAGTTTTAACAAAAAAGTGATGGGTATACAACTTGGAGATAGTAACATTTCCTATGAAATGAAACAAAAATCAAATTTCTATGACAAATAGTTTTAATTTTATGAGGAAAAAACGGCAATTTTTATCAAAAAACTAGTTTATTTCAAACTTAATCTCGATGAGGCACGCGTTAAAATTATCCAATGGAACTAAAACTTTCCATATCTTATTTTCTAGCAAATATTAAGGGAGTCCCACCGGCATTACGATGAAAAAAATGTTTCACTTCATTACTTTTCATGACCACCCTACCCTACCTATTCAATTGAAATTAATTTACACATATTAGAAGTTGAAACTGTAGAATCCGGTCAATCTAGACATTGGAAGGTACATAAATTTACAACAAGCTGCAAACGCGTGTGATTGTTCAAAACATAGTTAAAAATGAGATTTTAAAATTCCGAATGATTGCGATGTCTGGAAAAAAATTTATTCGAGGTCAAAGGTCAAAAATCTTGAAATAAATTGGTTTTTCACGATTTTCAGGAAAACGGTAAGTTTTATCATGAAATAACTTCTGATGAAAATAGTAGAACATAAAATTCTCTACAAAAAATGTATCAACACTTTTTTTTCTTAGAGCCACCGTTTCTGAGATACGACGAGTCAAAAAGTTGTAAAAGGCCTTCGTTGTATAGTTTTTGTAGCAGTTTGGACACTTCAACCATTCTAAAATAAAAAATAGAGTTTCATTACTTCAATTACTTATCAATTAATAAAATATGAAAAAAGTAACGAATATCTGACAAAGCTAATAATAATAATAATAATATATATATA